TTTTTAATTAGTTTTGTTATCTTTATATTAAGATTATTCATACGTATCTTTACTATAAAAAAATATTGTGTTTTCAGAGTCTTCCTTACCTTCAGCATCTGGTTCTTGCGGGAAACAACATTACAAGATTGGAAGTAGGTAGCATTCCAAGCACAGTTGGAAAAATTCACTTAGGTCGCAATTTAATTTCTGATTTAAATGGAACATTAGTGCCTCTATCGGGAATGATATGGGTGTTTGTAAACAATAACAACTTGACTACTTTGGAGGGACAATTGCCCCCGTTTGCTCCCGATCTAATTATGATACATGGGGCCCATAATTACTTAGAACAAGTGCCCAATGAAATTAAAAATTACCAGCGACTGCAATCGCTATTTTTGAACAATAATGCAATTACTAATTTAGGAACAACATTAGCCAAACTCAGAGAATTGCAGAGGGTACAGCTGGAACATAATCAAATTTCGGAGGTTAGTTTTAGTAAGCATTTTTATTATGTTGTACATTTTGTTGTTATTTTCGCATGAGTTACATATACGACTTTTTATTTTAATGTTCATCATTTCCATATATGATCTCTATTTTATATATTTATGTGTACACACCGTACTAAATTAAATCAAATTATCTCTAGATAGAATAGGTTCATTTAGGGTAACTGGTTGGTTTTCTTCTATATAAGTGCATTTTCTACAATTTTAAAAGCATCCATAGGTATCAAACTTATCGATTTCAAAAAGTGTAGATTTTGCAGGAATCGGAAGACAAAGGAATACGTAAACGAAGTACATCTTTAATAAACTCACTAAAATAGTATCATTCAATAATTTTTTGGTCAGTTATATAGACTTAAATTTTCAAGGAGTTCCTACCTAACTTTAAAACCATGAAAGAGAGCTTACGCATATCTCTGAGGGTGAAAGAGAAACGGTTTCGAATGCCATAATCACGTAAAATAGAGAAAACAACGTTCCAGCCTATTAGCCGCACTGCGATTGTCTTGTAGAAGAGTTTAGAAACCATTTAAATTTCGAATCCACGTGCACAACAAAAATAAAAAATGTATAGATGACATCCGTTTAAATAAGTAATCCTAATCCTTCGTTAGATTTTTAATTTAACCTCCTTGAATCTGTCGGATTTCATTCCCGACTTTTTTTTATTCAGGTAGATACGTATGTAATGAAATTTTTTCTATGAAACGTATTAATAAAGTCATTTACTCATTTGATTTTGATATGACCCTTTGGTGATCATCTAGACCTCTAACATGCGTTGCATAAAAAATAAGGGCTCTCATTTGAACTTGACTTTGAGATAACTGACCCATTTTCCAGTTTCAATATCAAGGTTACTACTACCCCGCTTGCCGGTGGTAATTAATATTTTTTCGTGATTTTTAGAAGTTTCTATACTTCTTTAGATTTAGCAGTTTTTTATCAATATTTAAATATTTACCTACCTTAAATGTTTCTAGATATATTTCAATAGCTTCTTATTTGATCGACTCATGTAGAGTTTGATTGGATTCAATGTATTAGTGAATTAATTTTTTAGATTAACTTTACCCACTTCAAATAACCTCCAATTCATCATCATCATCATAAGGTCGTCATCCTAAAACTGGTTGGACACGCACCTCTACTCTTTCCTATCGTGGGCTAATCTTAGAATCTCCATAAAAGTATAGGTTTCTGATTAGTCCTTTATGCCAGAGATCTCGTCTATTTCTTATTGACTACCAAAGAGTATTCTATTCTGCTATTATTTCTTTTATTTCTAACCTTCTCTATCCATGATATTCTTATTACTCGTCTTTAACACCACATTTTGAACGTTTCTAACCTTCCACTTACTGGAGAAAAATTGTTGTATCTGTCTCTTCCTCGCCGGGAATCGAACCCTGGCCCCTGGTTTTACGGACCAGTAGTCTATCATTAAGCTACGAGGAGGTAACAGCAGCAAACCGACGATACGTGCGTAAGAGTATAGGTGGCATAATCGTCGAACTAATGTATAATCATTATTAGTAACGAGAAACAAAGTGCCTCAATTTAACTAATTGGTTTTCTTTTTTAATTATTACTCATATTATATGATGCAACTGTAGGAATGTATTGATTTCTATAACTTCGTATTTTTACTTACTTTTAATACTAATTTATGCGTTTACCTCCGTAAAAAAGGTATACTAATGATTACTATACTTTTCATTTAGATTTCTGGAGAGACATTTGCTGAATTGCACAAATTAGAGACGTTGCTTTTGGGTCACAATCGTATAAGTTCTATTAACAACGCATTTTTACCGTTAAGCAAAGTTGAAGTTGTTAATTTAACACACAACTATTTGACAGAATTTTCATTTGAAGAAATTAAAGGACTGAAATCTTTAAAAAAACTGGATCTGTCACACAATAGGATAAAAATTTTGCAAGGACCTACTGCTGTAAGGGGTGGTAAGAGATTTATTTTAATACTAATAAACTTACATATTTTTTTTAGAATTTAGTTGATTGGGAAACAAAAATCGCCGAACTCAATTTAAATCACAATCATTTGCAATTATTAAATGGTGCATTGTCGGGCCTTCCAAGTTTAGTAAAACTCGATTTGAGTCATAACAAAATATCTACAATTTCTCCTGATGACTTTATTGGTTTAGATCAACTAGTGATTTTGGACATTTCATATAATCAACTTACAACATTGAATGAAATGAGCAAGGTACTTTCTTTTTTAATATTATTTAGTGTAAGTATATTTATTTTGATGAATCTTTTAGACGTTTTTGCCTTCTCTGTCTGACCTAGTGGCGGGACACAATAAATTAACAATATTAGATAGAGATTTCCATGGACTTCCTATACTATGCTGGGCAGATCTGTCCAATAATCAAATCGTTGCATTAGGAAGACAACTAGTCAGTAAAACTCGCTGCAACAAAGGAGTTTATTTAAAAGTATATTTACAAGGTATGAACTACATTTTCTTTAAACGATTTTAAAATATTATATATTGTAATGATCGTGGGTTTAACAAAATTAACTTTGAAGACTGATAACGACAAAAACGATTTATTTACACTAATTATTAAAGAACTTAAAACCAGTATTAAATTATTACTAAAGTTAGGTTATGAATTATTCTATTTATTTACACTACTGTTGATATATCACTATTCACTGCGCTATTTATTTCACTGCTATCACTGTCAATTTATTTCTGGATTCACTTCTGCAACGGTCAATTTATTTCTTCTTCTCTCGGCGATCGTCTCTTCCTTTAAATACTCTTTTGTTTACTTTCGGGAACCTTCTGGAAACATCCGGATAGTTTATTTTTTCTTTGAACTGTTTAACTGCTTTCCCAGAACGCAGGTACGACACACACATTTACAAATACGGCGCACATGAAGAAAGGCGCCCGCGGCTAGTCGGCGAATCGATAAGCCGTTCACGCACACGTGCGCCCGATCGCACACAAACACGCTCGTGCTCGCTACAATATAATTTTAAAATATTATATATAAAAGAAATTATGAGTGCTGTCAGCACAGGTCAAAGTAGTATTACGTAAATGAAAGTTAGTATCAGCAATTTCTTATGCTGAAGTGTACGATGTGTTGCATACCTATTTACAAACAATTCCTTTAAATTTTATTTTTCAAACTCTGGAAGCAATAGTGCTAACAGTTTCGAGCTCACAGTGACTGATAGGGCGGAAGAACTAATTTAAAGTAACTAAAACTTAAGCAATATAATCTGCAATTAAATACGTTTAATTAACATTCAAATACAATGGATCACATATTTATTTTCCATTCCTTTTTGATGATGTTTTTGCAGCAGGCTTCTTCAGTAACTGCTTTACAGTTGAAGATATCAAAAAAAGTTTCTTACAAAAGTGGTACCATATATACCAAATGGAATACCTCATTTGTTATTGCATTTTTATACCACTTTGTTAACTACATAAAATGCATCAATTTCCAAAAAATCCGCACTAAATCAATAAAAAGGCTGTTGCAGTGCTCTGCGCCATTTCGAATATTTCCAAAATGAAAGCAGACAGAGGTGTGCTATTTTCACATATAGCTTGTAGAAGAAATGGCCTACTATTTCCGCTATTGACGCAAACATGTTCTTTTCAAATTCATTGAAATCTACTGCTTCTAATATAGATTATTATTTTTTTTTATGGAATGCTGTATTTTTTATCAGCTCATCATATGCAAAATTTTATTTCCTTTCGTCCAAATATTTTCTCAAAAAGTGTTAGACGTAGATAGTAGCATCCTTATTTATATTGGACGAAAGGAAATAAAATTTTGCACATGATGAGCTGACAAAAAATATGGCATTCCATTTAAAAAAATAGTTATGTCAGTTCGAAATAATTTATTTTGGAAGCGGTATATTTCAATGAATTTGAAAAGAACATGCTTGCGTCAATAGTGGAAATAGTAGGCCATTTCTTCCACAAGCTATATGTGAAAATAGCACACCTGTGTCTGCTTCCGTTTCGGAGATATTCGAAATGGCGCAGATCACTGCAACAACCTTTTTATTGATTTAGCGTGAATTTTTTGGAAATTGATGCATCTTAGACATAATATAAAATTAACAAAGTGATATTTAAATTTAACTAAGAATTCATAAATGCACTAATAAATGCGGCATTCTATTTGAAGAAACGAAGTTAGGTTGTCTCCAGGAAAAATGGGACACCCTGTACAATCGAAAATAATTTTTAGGATATGCATATACTTATATGGTACCACTTTTATAAGAAACTTTTTTTGAAATCTTCAACTGTAAAGCAGTTATTGAACAAACCCACTTGCTTGGTACACCCTGTATAAACGTTTGGAATTTCAAAAAATCTTAAGATCCAAAAATCAAAATTAATTTTCTTTAATCAATAAAATTATATCGTCTCTTTACTTCAGTGTGCATAAAATGCCACTCACTGTAGGATAAGACAATAAAGTAGCTTTTTGATTGGATGAAATTTTTCTTGATATTTGGTATAAGTATATTGGGGCTGACATTGCTATATTTGTTAATTGATTAAATGGAGAAAGTAGTGTAGAACTTGCTCAAGTAAAAATTTTGTTGCCATTCGTTTTTGCACTTGTCCGTTGAAGTTTCACTTGTACTATGTGTCCCAGCACACATTTCGTTTTCACAGGCTTACTGCAAATTATGATTTGGTTTTTACACATACCGTAAATAATGGCAATGATGCCCAGCCACGTGGAGAGCAGAGGTAAGGAAACAACAGCACACGCCGCCGGTACTCTAGCGGACTCCCCGCTTTTTGCGCGGCTGCGCATCATATCTGAACAGTCGTTTCCCTCGTCGTCAGCCTTTGTCTCCCTCCGCCACCACGCGATATACCCTCCACGCGGCCGTAATGCTTTTTACCAGGTCTATATAGAAGTTTCACTTCAAAAATAAATTAAATAATTAAAAAATTCGTAGTGACGCAGACTTTTTTAAGATTATATGAAAGGAGATTACATGTTCGAAATTGACATTTTTTCATTTCTTTTTGTAATTTCTAATCTAGTCCGTTTTCGATGCGAAATCTACTCTGCATAAAATTCTGCACTACATTTCGCATTTAACTGACTCGCTATTTCAGCCACCAATAAATATAATCATATAAGCACGTTAGCTCCACGGCCTGGGGGACACTTAACATACTTATTGATATTTATCGATAGAAAATGAAAGTACTCGTTGCATGTGACTATGAATCTATTATACTATCGTAATGTCCAGAACATTAATATACGATTTTTTTTTGTAATATAGACAACCCCATACTTTGTGATGCTGCTCTTGCCGAAATAATTGCAGAAATGGAAGCGAATTACACAAGAATTCATGGAGTTTCACACTGCGCCCCCTTAAGCGAACAGCCAACAACATCAAAACCAAATGGCTACTTAGGAATCCTGCCGTCATCCACTCCAATTCCACTAAGACAAAATAACCAGCCTTCTTCATTTGATTTCTCAAATCAAGCCATTCAGAATCAGTCGCCAGCTAACGTGGATATTCAGCAAATGAACGTTCATAATAAGGTTTATTCGCGCGCAGTATTATCAAGCTCTTTAGAAAACGATGAACATGAACAAGGAAACCCCTATTATGTTCGCCACAGTCCACCACACGAAGCTTCGTATGTAAAATATACTTATGGTTTATCTGATTATTTGAAAGATCTTAAAAATGACACTAGTCATAATAAAAATTCCGATTATTCCGAAAGTAATCAAGAACAATTAAATGAATTGCGGTTAGAATTGGAAGAATTAAAGAAAAATTTTCTACTATTTAAAGAGAAAAATCAAAGGATAGAATCTTCTTTAGAAACAGACGAAAGTTTGAGTGATGTACGAACACCAAAATAGAATTAAAATGTTCCTAGATTTGGAATATACTAATGCGTTAATTTGTTCCTATTTTTGGGAGAAGACACGGATATTTTTACTTTGCACTAAAATAAAATACGTACGACACTAAAAATACACAAAACAAGCGAATATTAACTTATTTAACGAAAAGAACTAGTCAACAGATAGATGCATATTTTTGTAGAAAGGGTTATGAAACTGTGAAGCTCGACGAGATGTAAATATTAACAGGACAGAAAACACTATTAACTCCTAAAAGGCTAGAAAACTGAATTAACTCCGATAGTGAGTGTAAGATATATGTACGTTAAGTGCTTTCCGTGCTGCCACATTAGTTTTTATGCCCATTATGATTTTACAAAAGAAGAGCACGAAAACATCAATATTAAAAACTACTATTATTCATCATGTTCACTCTATCTTTAAGAATATCTCTACAAAAACTTTATTGGTTATGTTTAGCCTTTTAGTTAGAATAGTACAAAGTATTTTCAAAGTTAGTCAATTTACACGTAAAAAAGCTTTTATTTAGAAATTTAAAACTAACCTTCATAAGGCGAACTAATAAAGATCAGATACATCTTTACATTTTTTCAATTTAGGGTACAAATAAATGTAAAATATTAGGAAGTACGAAAAATTCGTAGCAATTTAAGTAATAATAGTCTTAATTTACATGATCAAATAATAAAAATTAAGTACAATAATTGATTAGACAAAAAGTTTTTCGTGTAATAAAGAATAAGTATTGTTTCCTTGTAACGTTTGAATTGTTATTAAGTAAATAGATGAGATAGAGGCTTTCTATTAAGTATTTATTTTACTTATGTTAAAAACTTAATTAACGATGTTGTTTTTCTGAGCAACACAGCATGCTTCCAAGGAGTATTAAAGCAATTCCCCATAGTGCACCTAAAATAAATTAGTTGTATTAAACAGAAAACAACATTGATTGAGTACCTACTTCTATCTGGAAGTTTTTCTCCTAGTGCCCATCCAGATATGGCAGTAAACACAAATGACAAAGAGTTTGCTACAGGGACAGCTAAAGATAAGTCTGAGCTTTGTAGAACAAAAAAATAAAATACTGAGCCCAACTGGTTTACTATAAGTGGAATGATATACTACAAAATTGGAAAAATATTTTTGCATTTGAAATGGTAATTTAATACATACATTAATGTTCGTAAATAAATACTTCCATTCTAGCAGAAGTTGCTTTATTTTGTTATTTCCTTTTATATGTACAATTCCTTTTGATCCTCGTTTTATAAGAGGGTTTGTAGCGCCCCATAATATTCCTACTAGTATTAAAGAACCTGTCGAAATTAAAAAGTTTATTATTTTATCTAAAATTGTCACCGAAGTACGGAAGCTTTTATAAGAAAATAGTAAGTTTGCATTTGCATAAAATCATTAGATTTACGACAATCGAAGTATAATATAAAACATTAATTTCAGTTATACAATTAATATGACTACATTACTTTTTGCTTATAAATCGAAATCGTTTAGATTTGAACAATTGCCATCTTCAGAGGGGCGTAATTCAGTTAAACACCGAAAACCGATTCTTTGAATCATGTATGAAACAGTGCATGTACCCAATCGCAGTACGCAACACAAATGATATGTATAGCCCAGTGACGATCGCTGCAAATGAAATACGCCATTTGCTGGACGTTTCTGGGCGACTCCAAGATAATTTCAGTAAACATCTTGAAGCCTGTCTTCCAGCACGGGGTTTTAATTTCGAAAAAATTTTGTAGTACACGTACGTATGTAGGTATTATGCTTAGTTGTGTTATTCAAAAGTAGTAACTCCTCGATAAGCATGATACAAAAATCAGGAATCCCGAAGCAGGTCCTGAACTGAAGCTACAACGATGGAGAATGAAAACAATACCGACAAGCGGTATCGGCTGAAAACATCAACAAAACTGCTACTACACATAATATTTAGATGCCTACCACGGTATAAATGAATTAATAGAAACATTTGTTCATTGTTGATAGTATGCAATTTAAAAACCTCAGCATGTGAGTACACAAAAGAAACAAAAAATTTTTAAGTTTGTTCGAAAGACAACGCCAAGATACGTTACTATTCTTACACAATACTCGCATCGGTACATTACAAAATCATTCGAAATTTGAATCTAGTTTTAGAAGACGGGCATCGAGACATCTACCAAAATTATTCCTGAATCGAGCAAAAAAGTTCGACAGTTACACCAATACTGACTACCGTTATTTTGTGAAACAACATTTATCCGTAAATAACACACTATGAAAACAAATAGGCTCTGCAGTACTTTCCTGGCGAAACTACCAATACAAATCTAGTAGCAGCTGAAAATCAGTTTCTTGCAAGGCTTCTATTTGTTGTAAATGATAAGAATGCAGCAACCGTTCCTTTAAGATTTGCCACACTATCATATGAGAGTAGTCAACGTTGCGTGCTATTTCACGTGTACTACTTTAGGGGTTGTCATCTATGAAAATCAAGGATTTCATCTCAGCGGTGATATAGTTCGAGCGTTGACGCTCACGAACTTCAAATGCAGGGTGTACCTTACGATTACTGTATAATTTGATCGTTGCATTAACACGGATACACTGAGCTACCATCGATTGACTAAATATATCTCTTTCACGTCCATGAAGCTAGCAGAGCAAACTCAGCAGAACAAAAGATGACATACTAAAAATTAAGTGCTAATTAAATGCGCTAATAAAACAATTATTGTTTCCTTTTTTAAAAAAGTATTGCACGAACTCAGCAGAGCAGAATAGTGACAAATAATTTAATCGAATGAAGATAATTTGGAAAGTTAAATGCTAATTAAAGGCACGAGTATGATTTCCGTGGCGCCATGATTTGGAGATGCCATTTTGTTAATTGGCCCCAAAATAAGACGAAAATGAAGAATAAAATTTTTCGATATCTCGCTTCGTTTTCGAGATATCGATAGTTGAATTCGAAAAATTCGATCAAACTTGCGCAATGCCACCTTGACGTACCTTCCCTTCCTTATCAAACTAATCTAACATGATCAAACATAATACAATCCAACCCAAGTCAATCCAGCGCAATCTATGCTAACCAAACCTAACCTACCCTAACCGGTGAAACATGCGCCATGCCACCTTGCCGTACTTTCCCTTTATTACCAAACCAATCTAATATGATCAAACATAATACAATCCAACCCAAGTCAATCGAGCGCAATCTATGCTAACCTAACATAATCTAACCTAACCTAACCTAACCTAACCCCGTCAAACTTGCGCAATGCCACCTTGCCGTACTTTTCCTTCCTTACCAACGCAACATTACATGATCAAACATAATACATTCCAACCCAAGTCAATCTAGCGCAATCTATGCTAACCTAACCTAACCTAACCTAACCTAACCTAACCTAACCTAACCTAACTAAACCTAACCTAACCCGGTCAAACATGCGCCATTCCACCTTGCTGTACCTTCCCTTCCTTACCAAAGTAATCTAACATGATCAAACATAATACGAGGGTGGATTGATAAGTTTCCGGCCTAACCAAGAGATGACGCCACTAGGCCTACCTTGAGGTGACATTCTATAGTACCATCCTTGGATAGCTTGTAGCTATAGTTTCAGCCCGATCTCCTTGCTAGTGTAGGTTTGACAGCACGCTGAACAAGACGCCTCTGTGGTTTTCGTAAAAATGGAAAAGCAGGAAAATCGTGCTGTCATCAAATACTTTTATTTGAAGGGGTTAACGCCGAAGGAAATTAAAAAAGAGATGGACTCAACACTGGGGACATCCTCCCCGTCATATTCAACCGTTAAGCAGTGGGTTTCCGAGTTTAAAAAGGGTCGTGTGAGCACCTCTGATGGGCCTCGCTCAGGACGCCCCGTTGAGGTCACAACTCCAGATATGATCGAAAAAATTCATCAAATAGTGCTGGGAGACCGCAGATTGAAAGTGCGTGAGATAGCTGAGACCTGTAAGATGTCATATGAACGTGTGCAACATATTTTGCACCAACATTTGCATATGGAAAAGCTCTGTGCAAGATGGGTGCCGCGTTTGCTAACAGTCGACCAAAAATTGATTCGAAAAAACATTTCTACCGCAAATTTGTCATTGTATAAGCGTAATCCAAGCGAATTTTTGCGTCGATTCGTAACCGTTGACGAAACGTGGGTCCACCACTACACTCCTGAAACCAAAGAACAGTCTAAACAGTGGATTGGACCAGGGGAACCAACTCCAAAGAAGGCAAAAACAATTTTTTCGGCGAACAAGGTTATGGCTACTGTTTTTTGGGATGCAAGAGGTATTATATACATTGATTACCTTGCAAAGGGTAATACTATCACTGGTCAATACTACGCAGACTTATTGCAACGTTTGAGCCACGAGGTGAAAATTAAACGACCTCATCTGGCGAAGAAAAAAATCTTGTTTCATCACGATAACGCACCAGCGCACACGTCAATCGTTGCGACGGCTAAAATCAACGATCTAAAGTTTGAATTGATGCCGCACCCTCCTTACTCTCCAGACCTAGCCCCGAGTGACTATTTTCTGTTCCCTAATCTCAAAAAATGGCTTGGCGGTAAGAGATTTGCGGACAATGAAGAAGTAATCGAAGCTGTAAATGGTTATTTTGAGGAGCTTGACGAATCAGTCTATAGAGATGGCATTAATAGACTGGAACACCGCTATGAGAAATGTATCAGCCTTGGAGGAGATTATGTTGAGAAATAAAAAAAAAAAAATTTTAAAAACCTTGTTTTTCTTGGTCAGGCCGGAAACTTATCAATCCACCCTCGTACAATCCAACCCCAGTCAATCCAGTGCAATCTATGCTAACCTAGCCTAACTTAACCTAACCTGACCTAACCTAACCTAACCCGGCCAAACTTGCGCAATGCCACCTTGCCGTACTTTTCCTTCCTTACCAACGCAACATTACATGATCAAACATAATACAATCTAACCCAAGTCAATCCAGCGCAATCTATGCTAACCTAACTTATCCTAACCTCACATAACATAACTTAACCTAACCCTGTCAAACATGCGCCATGCCATGTTGGGTGAGATTCTTGCGAATTGGGTTGGATTGTATTATGTGTGATCATGTTAGATAATACATAATAATATCATTAAAATATTAAGGTAAATTATGTAAAATTTAAAAAAAATACTTTGTGTTTAATCATTCGATTTATATTTAAAAAACAAAAATCTTCATTTTAGACGTCGTATTAAACTCCATCTATTCTATCAAGCGAATCTTGAACTAACTTTAAGTTATAATTTCAAGTATCGATATCTCGAAAACGAAGCGAGATATCGAAAAATTTTATTCTTCATTTTCGTTTTATTTTGGGCCAATTACGCCAAAACACTCGTTAGATTGCGGCGCCACGGAAATCGTACTCTCCCCCTAATTAAATGCCCCAATTAAAATAATTGTTACTCCTTTTTTCTTAAATATTTTCTACTAGGTTCAGATGTTCAGATGAAGAACTGAGCAGAGCAGAGTATCGATAAACAATTAAAACTGAACCCGACTAGAAATTATTTTGACTATGCCTATATTTCCGTTGTACTCTGAACTGTTTGGATCAGCGTAAATTAACCATTTCCCATTGTTATTTCGTTATTTGAATGTTATAGGGGTAGCTCAATATTTATCCAACTTCGCTCCGCTTAATGACTTCCCAACCACCATCTAATTAACTCCATGTATAATTTAAGCATTTACTAAGAATTGTTCATTACGACCGAATAAGTATTACTCAAACTACCCTTCTTCTTAAGCTCATTTTATGTTAGCCTAAGAAGACATTTTGAAGAGCAATGTATACTAGATGGGGCTAGCTTATGTTGTTCTACATAGTTTACGGAAAAGTTCTGTTGTATCTTTCCAATACAATACAATTTAGTCCTAATGTTCACCATAATAATTCCTACTTTCATATTTTTTTAAAACCTCACTCCTATATACCATCCTATTTTAAAGACGAACATGTGTTTCGTCAGTTTTATTGTGGTATTATCAACGCGAAATGTTTTCTTAGGTTAACAAAATGAACCTAATTTAGGGATAGTATAAGTAATCCTAATTCGGCCGTAATGAACACTACCTAATAAATGTCTAACATACACATGGACTTAATAGTAGTAGTTGGTAAGTCTTCAAATGTACCGAAACTGGGCAAATCTTAAGCTATTCCTATAACATTCAAATAATAAATCCATTAGTCATAGGTTGGGAATGCCAACTTTATGTGGATTCAAATAGTTATAAATAAGGACACCCTGGAAATTTAGATATGACCAAATTAAATTCTATAAGGGTTGATTGTGTACTGTTTATCACTACTCCGTTCTGCCAAATTCTTCTGAAGTTAGCAGAACAGGCAGTATAAAAAAAAGGGCATTCATTTTTTTTATTGAAGCAATTAATTAGCATTTAAATTTCCAATTCGTCTTCATTCAATTACACTGCTTTTTATATAATTGTTGGTCACCACTCTCGCTTTGCTGAAATAGCTAGCAGAACATGCGATATTTCTTAAACGAAGGAAGCAATATTTTAGAAGTGAAACTTCTTTACGCACGGTAGGGTAAGTTTGTTTCATGTGAGTTGCTATGTAACGAAATCATGCAACGGATGTCTCGTAATGGGGATCGCTTGAGCCGTAAGCGCGCTTCAATGCAATGTTCGTTACTGGCAACTTGGCATATATAGTGTAAAATTTAAATTCATAGTGTATAAATAATACCATTAAACCAATTCCTTAACCCCTATATCGGTATGTTTGTGTGTTTGAAGAAGTTTCACTTGTTGTATAATTACACGTTGTATTTATTTATTGGAGTATTTAATTTTTTAATTCGTTTTAACTCGATCAGATTTATTTTTAACTGTTTAGCAGTACTCTGCTCTGCTAAGTTCATCTGAAGCTAGCAAAACATAGGATATTTTTTAAACAATTTTTTTATTTGAACATTTAATTGACACTTAATTATTAGTAATGTTTCCTTTTATTCTGCTGACTTTACTCTGCTAACTTCATGGACATCTTTCTTTTCACATTTTAGGTTACACGTTACTTTTTAATAACTTTTTCTATATTTTATACAATATAATACATCTTTTTTAATATAATTAAAAGAACTGAGGATTTCCAATTTAAGAAGGTATGAGCCAGTAAAAAATATTACATGTTCATTTAAGCCACAGAATAATTACAAAAGTAAAATACTTCGGAAAGCTAAGGATGATCGCACAGGTTCAAATTGGTAATTATCCTATATATACTATAAATATGAAACACTTTGACATTTAATAGGGGTTAATATCAAATATTAATGTAAAAATTCATTTAATTTTCTCCCACTACAACCGGCAAGGGTGTGACAACAGCAACAAATTTTTCCCTTATTAATTTGAGGTAGTTGTAGTGGGAGAAAATTAAATGAATTTTCATATTAATATTTGATATCCTATATAGTTCATTATTGCAGAAATCCGACTTCATTTTAAGATAATCCCAAGTTCAATGAAGATAATTTATTTTCATTTGCCTTTAGTTAATTCGTTCTGCTTGCCCCACCTACTTATCTTCGATGACAATGCAATATCATGTAAAAATATTACATAAAAGCCAAGAATTTGTTATTAATATTTTGCAATTATTTATTTTTATAGTTCTCACAGACGAAGGCATTATATGAGCCTCCCTTCAATCAACGTTCGCGATTCATGAAGGTGATCCATATTTGCGTTTGCAATTGTCCTAAGTCGGACCTATGCAATGATCCTGAAAATAATTAGGTCATCGTTTGCAAGCTTGCCTTGATATTGTTGTTCTTTGTAAAAAAGTCTTTAATTATCCAAGGTAATACAACTGTCCTAGAATTTTGACAATCCATTTTTTTTTATTGTACATACATAGCTTGCATAAAGTGCAACAGGTAGTTATAGAGCTGGGGCAGCAACGTAGAAAACTAAATATTAGGAAGGGAGTCAGTCAAGGATGCACTGTCACAGCTACTTTTTAATCTAAAACGTCATTAAAGACAGTAGAACTGTAGGGACAAATGTAGAGGAACAAAAGATTAATATGCTTAGATTTGCAGATGATATAGCAGTAATAACATCTAGCAAGGACGAGATAGTTTTAAATAAAATGGAAGCGGTATTGACAAAACAGTATTGTATGAAAATAAATAAAAGTAAAACAAAAATACTGGTATGCAAGGAAAGAAAAAGTAGGGAAAGAGTGAAAGAAAGATTAGAAGTGACTGATTTTAGGGATTTAGTAGTACGGATATAAAGCAGAGAATAGCGTAGGGTCGAGCCGCTTTTAATAATAAGAAGCCACTTCTATGCTCACCAACGGTTAATTTATAAATTCGAGAATGTTAAAGGTGTATGTTTGGAGCGCGGCGTTGTACGAGTGCGAAACATGGACAGTGGGCGTGGCGGAAAAGAAAAGGTTAGAAGCCTTCGAAATGTGGTGTTATAGGCGAATGATGAGGATAACGTTGGTAGAAAAGGTTAGAAATGAAGAGGTTTAGAAAGAATAGGAGAACAGAGGACTGTATGGAAGTCAATAAAAAATAGGCGAGATAGGTTGGTAGGGTGTTCTCAGGCTTGAAGGTCTAGTCAGAGACATATTAGAAGCAGAAGCAGGAGTTAGAAAGGGTAGAGGTAGACCTAGGTTGGAGTACTGTTCGTTAATAGTTAAGGATGTGGGATGTTCTAGTTTTAAGGAAATGCGAAGATTAGCTCAGGATAATAAGGAGTGGAGGTGCGTTTCCAACCAGGCTTAAGACTGACGACCTTATGATGACGTACCTACCTGTCGAATAGTATATATATAATTGATAGTTTTTATAAAATAGGTGCTTACCGAATTGCAATAACATTGTATATAACTACACTTCTGAAAGGTAAGTTATAGTTTAGTCGTTAAAATTTACAAAAGTTATCTTAGAACTTCAAATTCAACCGTCACACTTGACTTTAACCATGTTGTTAATGTTATCTGAATATTATCTCATAATTGTATTATTATCTGATTCTCGTGGCTCGAAATGACTGATCTATGGTTTAAGGCTAGCTTCCAAATGCAGCAAGGGCGGAAGGGAGCACTCAAAACGAATTTTACCGGAAATGCACGAATTGCAAAGTTCATATTTTAAGGTCATCCTGAGCATCGACGTTTACATAGATATATATTAATGGACGTGCCGACGTGCCTTAGCCGTATGTCATTGTAATAATTTCTTGGCTTTAAAAGTGAGGGAGATGCCGTAAGGTTCGGACTATCTCTTTCATGACACGCTAACGCACTATGGTGAGAGAGATGGATATTGTCCGAAACTTTGTTCCATCTCTTTCTTTTGTTGTACCACAATTCTGACCGCTAAGGCATGTCCATTACTAAACGTCGATGGACGTTTACTATATGTCTATGATCCTGAGAGCAACACAACAATTTACGTCGAGGCATCTGGTTAGTCGTGTGAATCTGGCACCCGATATAAATAACTGACCAATTCAAACTTTACTAATAAATTGCGCATTCTATATAAGTAAGTATCATAATGTGCGTTACTCCTGAACAATAGACAATGAGCAAATTATTTACTATTATTAATAAAATATTTTCCTATAATTTTATGTTACTTCTGTTTACATGACTCACGAAAATTTCCTTTTTTCCGCACTTTTTCTTGAAGCACATCACTGCAACACGATTTGAAAATAGTTGATAGCGAGTATTGCCTATGAGTTGACTTATCTATGGATTTGACACCAGTAACCTTATCTATCTATTATATTAACAACCTATACCCATAGATACATATACAATATACACCTAAAGATATATGAGATATCATTCTACTAATTGTGAAACATTTTCAAAGTAAATGTAATTTCTACTTATTAAGGTAAGTCACTCAGAAGTTTTTTCAAGAATAAATTTTGATCCTTCTTTACCATTTCTGTGTTTTAACTAGGCCTTAAGAGTTTTAGGATTCAACAATTTATACCATCTTTATTTGTAGATGATGTTAAGTTACACATCAAAATTGTGAAATGCCCAGATTATGTTTAAAAAATACAAACTGACATTGAGGATATTTATGACTGCTTTAACATTCGCTTTAACATAATTATTACACAGGTATACGAATAGCACTATATGTATACTACTGTCCTAAGAAAAAACTCAAAAAACGGGATGTTTTTCGTTAAGTAATGTTTTGCATCTAGAATACTACTACAGCTACTAAGCTAAAATTCCTAAAAGTTATCAACTATGTTACCCGTATATTCAACATTGCTATACATTCTTATTCAAAGATCATTAGAGATTTTCTCCAATACATAAAATTGTTACAGTAGTATATTTAACTAGAGTGAAAGTGTAATCGTTTCTTCCACTTAATTTAAATATTGAAGAATCTGTGGTATATTTTTGAAATTTGTTAGAAATTAAGCATACTTTACGTTTCCCTGATCTCGAATGGAGTAATGGAAAAACGATAATAAAACGAGTGACAGACTTCAATTTGTCTTTTGTTAGCTCATTTTTCCCAGTGATAAAACAGTTTTAAGGAAGAATGAAAAGTTAAATGTAATCATTGATATGTTTCGGTCACTTAGTGATCTAAATCAACATTGTTCAATTGATTTCCAACTACAGATTTTATATACTTTGAACATTAGGGGTAAGATAAAGAATTTAAATTTTAATACCTATGTATGATTGATACTACACATTATAGTATTATGTTGTAGCATTAGTACAAGTAGAAACAAAACAGTTTCTTGACGTCTTTCAGTGCATTAAAGATATATTTGACTTGTTGAAAATCCGTCAAAGTTTGGTGATTATGCGTAGCACTTCACAGATCTAAATCGGGCTACGTGATTTAATTTAACCTTGTGATTCCATCAGCGGTCGTTTAGTTACACCCACTGCCACATCTTATATAAATATATATAATATAGTCTTATAAACACCCTGAATACGTCTAAAGTTTGGTGATTTTTAATAAAAATTGTTATTCAGCTCTAACGCTTTGGACATTGAAAATAAGTTTAAAGCTCAGTATCGTCCTTAATTAAACGATTTCATAGTCAGATTATTCCTTAATTTTGTTTAATGAGTGGAAATAGTTGTACAAAATGTTTCAGATACATAGAGTATTATACAGGGCGTTTCTGTAAAATGTGCAATGCTTACATAAAGTGATAGGACACTATAAAACAATAAAATTAAGTAAATGCTTGCTGGTATTTGAAAAAACGGGCAAGTGTCAGCCCGCCCCTGATAAGTCACACAAAGAAATCATCATCATCATAAGGTCGTCAGTTCTAAAACTGGCTGAACACGCACCTCCACTCATTACTATTCTGAGCTAAACTTCGCATTTTTCTAAAACTAGAACAACCTACATCCTTAACTATTTGCGAACAGTAATCTAATCTAGATCTACCTCTACCCCTCCTAACTCCTGTTTCTGTCTCTAATATGTTTCTGACTAGACCTTCATGTCTGAGAAGGTGTCCTACCAACCTATCTCGCCTATTTCTTATTGACTTCCATAGAGTCCTCTGTTCTCATATTCTTTCTAATACCTCTTCATTTTTAATTTTTTCTATCCTCATCATTTGCCTGTAACACTACATTTCGCGCTCTAAACATAAACTTTTAACAACCTTTTTCGAATTTTCAAATTAACCGTTCGCGAGCATAGAAGTGACTTTTTTTTATTGAAGCCGACACGACTCTGCGCTATCCTCTGCTTTATATCTCTAAGTCCTCCTTGCTAGATGCTAATACTGCGATATCATCTGCAAATCTAACCATACTAATATTTTGCCCCTGTATATCTATCCCTACAGTTGTAGTGTCTTTAATAATGTTGATCGCGTCTTCGATGTATAGATTAAAAGTAGCGGTGACGGTGTGCATCCCTGTCTGACTCCCTTCCTAATATTTACTTCTCTACGTTGCAACCCTAGCTCTATAACTTCCTGTTGTTCTTTATACAAACTAAGTATCACTCTTCTATCTTTGTAACTCATCCCTACATTTTTAGGTATATTTAACATCTTGTCCTATTTAACATTGTCAAAAGCTTTTTCTAAATCTACAAATCCTATGTGCGCACTCTTTCCTTTTTCTATCGTTTTCTCTGTTGTTACACGTAAAGCGAGAATGGCCTTCCGCGTTCCTCTATTTCTTCTAAACCCAAAGTGATCTTCTCCTAATAGTTCTTCTGCTCTTTTTTCCATCCTACTCTGTACAATTTTAGTTAAGATGTTTGACGTATGGGAAGTTAAGCTAATTATTGTAAATGTCTCGCACCTACTCGCGCCTCTCCGTTTAGGTATGATTACTACCACGTTCCGTTTATAACCCTCTGGAAATTTTCCTGTCTCGTAAATCTGACTAACTGGCTTATACATACGATCTGTAACCTCTCGTCCTGCATGTTTTAGAATTTCTCCCTGTATCCCATCTACCCCTAGCGCCTTGTTATTCTTTAAGTTTTTTAATGCTACATCTAACTATTTTCTCCTTATGGGATAACCTAGCTCATTTATCTCTACACTATCTTCCTTCTGTAATATATCTCCTAACTCAGGGCCCGCGTATAGGTTCTCTAAATATTCTTTCCACCTGTCTGCCTTTTCCTCATTTTCAATCAAAATGCCCCTGCCTCGTTTCTTATATTATTACTACTGTACCCTACATCTCTAAAATTCCTAAAAAGAAATAGGAGAATGCAATTCCGCATTCAATCAGTTGGAAATTAGCAATACCAGTGTTGTATTTCTTTTGTATTTTTTTTTGCTCATGTATTGTTTGTTATTGGTTGGATTATCATTCATTGAAGCAGGCGGCCACGTTATCGTTGTAGGGTAGTTATTGTTACAACAATGTGACTTGATATTTATCGGACTTTAACTATATCGTTGTTATAGAAGACGAAATTCGTAATTCCTTAGTTGTTGCTACATCCTTGGAGGAAACTGATTGTCAGCTGCAAGTGGATTTGTGTCAATGGTTGCGCATCCTTGGCGTTTTCTCTCAACGGTTTTCGGTTAATGTTCTTTCTTTTGTGTTCATATTATTTACATATTGAGGTGTAATTTAAACAGTGCTGCATACTATCAGCGTAGAGCAGATGTTATTATTAAGTATTTTATTATTATCGTAAAGGGCGCTTTAACATTTTGTGTAGTAACAGTTGATGTATTGCAATTGGCTGTAGGTATACACCTCCGTTGCCTATTCAGAAGTAGGACTGGGTTTAGACTGTATATTGTTGTGGTTATCTTAAAAAAAGTTTGTCCCTTAACTACAGTGCTGTAGTGAGCATGCATAACATCTAGTTAACACCCTTTAAAAGTTAGCACGTATTTCAGAAACACTGTAAAGTCATTATACCTTTTGGGCTGTGTTTAAATTTATTTTGTTATGCGGGAGGTCTATGTATTTATATTTTACTGAGCTAATTAGTAGTTGGTTAAGTGGGAAGTTATTGATTTATTTTATTTGTTACTACGGCAGAACTGAAGTAAAAACTTGCATTAACATTGACTGCATGAAAATTATATTATCTATGATGTGCGAATAAATGAACGATTGACTGCTACTTTCTAGATGGCTATTGTCACTACACCGTTTGTTTAATGTACATGTTGGACCATGACTATTAAATAAAAGGAAATACATTATTGTATTCGTCAAAAAATGTGATCGGTTGTGTGACATACACCTGAGTGTCAAAACGTCTGCCATTATCGAAAAAAAAACACCAAGATCTTTAACAACGTGTGCATGTCAATACTGTATTATTAAAATGGTATACTAAATCAATAAATGCTGTAAAAAAAGGACGTCAGCCAGTCCAGCACCCCGAATCCCGACATTTTCCAATTTCCTGATTAAAAGATTATGTTTCAAGGAATCAAAGATACGAAGTGTCTAAAACACGCAAGGTTTGTCTCTATTGAGATGACAGCTAAAAACCCCGTTCCCATCTTTGAATGTCACATGACTTATCCATCCTTGTAACATTATAGCA